TCACGGTCTTTCCTGCCCGGGCTGGCTTTGAACCGCGATCCTCAGATCTCAGCCTCCTGAGTAGCTAGGATTACAGGCGTGAGCCACCAGCGCCCGGCTCCCCATCTAGCCAAACTCTTATACTGGGCTGTCCTTGAACTATGATCCACCAGTTCCTAGACTCCTTAATAACTAGGATTACTGTTGGTCTGAAGCACCAGTTCTAGGAAGTTCAGGTGCTGTACCATTGAGCCACACCCCTGGCCCCAAACTCTAGATTTTAAAAGAGGAAACTAAGCCCAGAGTCACTTATCTGGTTGGCAACAGAAGTAGCACAAGCAGAGGCCAGGTTACCAGTAGAGTTCTCTCCACTGGGACACAAAGTTTAATCTTGTCCCAGCTGGAACATTTGGGCCACCTGGTTTGCTATCCTTCTTGGGTTATGATGTGAACAGCTTTTTTAGTCTATATCTTTGTGGCTTAAACTGCTGAACTGGAAACACAATCTTATGGATAAGAGAACATGGCTTTGTGGCAGAATGCTTGCCTATCATGCATGAAACCCTGGGTTCAATTCCTCAGTACCACATAAACAGAAGTGACTCAAGTCATAGAGTGCTAGCCTTGAGCAAAAGAAGCTCAGGGATAGTGCCCAGGCCCTGAGTTCAAGCCCTAGGACTGTGAGGGGGGGGGGTGATAAAAAGAGGAAGGAAGGAAGGAAGAAAGGAAGAAATAAGAAGAAAGAAAGAAGGAAGGAAGGAAGGAAATGATAGACTAGAGGAAATTGCTAAACTGGTGCTCACTGAATCTCTTCATGGTAGAAACAGTGGCTTCTTGGTTCATGGACTACCCCATTGTATTGTATTGGTGGCCATAGGGTGGATACTGCATCTAGGGAATAGATTCATATCAGTCCTTATCTGTACTACATGTTCTTAGATATTTCTGTCTGATAAAACTTGACCTTGACTGTTTCCTCAAGAGGGTTTATAACTCTTCTTAGGGAGGTAAACAGCCTGGAATTCAGAGCCTTCTCCAACACACACACACACACACACACACACACACACACACACACACACACACACACACACACACACACACACACACACAGAGTCAGGAGACCAATTAAGAAAAGGAGTGGCTCTGGCTTGTCCATACACACGGGATCCCACATTGTCATTGTTTCTCCAAAGTAAAGCAAGGCTAGAAATACCTGACCAATGATAACTTATCTTTAATTAATTTCCTTAAAGGTAGAGAGAAAGAATAAGTGTGTGTGTGTGCTCACGCGCATACCCGTGTGTGCCTGTTGTGTGTGGAGAGAGAAAGAACAAGAGTTAGGAAGAGGGAGGAAAGGATAAGGAACAAACAAACATGTGCCACTTAGAAAAGAATTCCTTTGCAGATCTTCCTGGGGGAAGGGAGCAGGGTAAAACATGGAATAAATTTCTCCCATGCTGGGAAGTACAAGCAAATTCCAAACTAAGAACAAATAAAGAACCTTTCAGTTGCATTTTCTTTGGAAAAAAGTCAGGACTTCTTTCTGAACTACATCTGAAACATGCTTTACCCTAAACCTACTGAGAGGAAGAGGATGGTCCAGAAGCTGCAATTGAACTAACTGCTCTTTGTGAGCAACAAAGACATATCTTGTGCCTGACATCTCAACATCCAGACTGGGGCAGGATAGATACCCAAAGCTGCCAAAATGAGAGCAGCTTCATCACCTCAGGCCCATCCCAGAAGCTCTAGTGGAACCTCTCCTGCTTCCCAATGGTAGGGCTCATTTTGGGTGTTGTTTGTTTTCTGATAGTATTTTTACCTCAGAGACCATTTATCTGACTGGTATCAAGTCCCAAGGGGCAACCTAGATTCTCTGGCTTTAGACTGTTGGAAGGGAAGGCCGAAGTCCCCTGTAAATCACCAAGGAAGTCACTGACCTACTGGCTCATAAGGAGGTCAGAACTTATCAGTTGGGCATTTTATACATGATGACCTAACAAGGCACTTTCCTTCTTCCTTTTTCAGAATTGGGGACTGATCTCAGGACTTATTTAGCAAGTACTCTACCACCTTAGCCACACAGTGCTTTCAATTTTTGTCATTTTTTTCCTCTGGCCTTGTCAGTCCTCAGATCTAATACATTTTTTTGCACACACACACACACACACACTGGGAGCCTTAAGCTCTCACTTGGCTCTTTTACTCTACAACTTGAGCCATACCTACAGTTCCAGCTTTTTTATCTGGATAACTGGAGACAAGGATTTGTTTACCCTAGATGGCTCTAAACTGGGATCCTCAGATCTCGACCTCTTGGTGTAAATCACTAGCACCCGGCTTGAGTGGACATACTTAAAGTAGTTGGACACCTGTCTTTCATGCTTCCTAAGGATATAAACAAGTCCTAGGCAACATGAGCAAGCATTAGTAAGGGGAGATGGCCTCAACGGTCATCTGGCTGGAGGCCTAGGGCTGACAGTAAGCAGGTTAGGAATAAACCAACTTCACCATGGATGCTTTGAAGGCTCAGGCTGAGGCAGACACACTCAACAGGAGTTACTAACATGTGAGATTGATAAAATTCACAACAGTAAATAGTTGTGTTGAGAAGAGAATATGGTGAAAGAAAGCGAGCAAAGCTTGACATGGTGGTTGGTAATAGAAGCAGAGTTGGTAGACTCTTGACCTTGGATGAACAAATATCTTATTTCTGTAACATATCTTATCAAAAGGCCTGCACTCCTTAAACATTCTCCTTCCTGGGGCTGGGAGGGTGTCTCAGCGGTAGAGTGCTTGCCTTGCATGCATGAAGCCCTGGGTTCGATTCTTCAGCACCACATAAACAGAAAAAGCCAGAAGTGGTGCTGTGGCTCAAGTGGTAGAGTGCTAGTCATGAGCTGAAGAGCTGAGGGACAGTGCCCATGCCCAGAATTCAGGCCCCATGACTGACAAACAAAAACAAAAAACAAAAAAACTCCTTCCTCCCCAGAGTAGGATTCGTTATGATTTAAACTAAGCAGTACAAAGGAAGTCAATGAAAAATTTGAAAGTGAGTATCTACAACTCTAACAGATAAAGGGTAAGAAAGTAACTGGAGATGGGTCTGTATGGGGAGGTACACAGAGTATTCAGGAAGCAGGCAGATTACCCCTCCAAGTTTTATTTTTCTTTTTTACTTCTTTTTTTCCTCCTTCAGGTACTGGGGCTTGAAATCAAGGTCTGGGTGCTCTACCTCTTGAGCCACACCACCACTTCCAGCTTTTCTTTTTTTCCAAGCTAAGGTTCTACCACTTAAGTCACAGCCAGCTCTTTTGGTAGCTAATTGGGGATAAGAGACTCATGGATTTTCCTGACCCAGGCTGTCTTCGAACCACAATCCTCAGATCTCAGCCTCTTGAGTAGCTAGGATTACAGGTGTGAGCTAATGGCGTCCAGCTGCCATCCCAAGTTTGTAGCTTAGGATCTATTGCACTGTCTCTTAGGTGTCTTCTGTAGAGAAATCCTTTCCTTCCCAGGCTGGCTTCTCAAGTTCCCTGCACTTGTCAGGCCACACTGTACTCCGCAGCACCCCGTCCTAAGTTTCTTTCCTGCTCCACGTTTGTCCTACTCCGTTCACGGCCGCCCAGCTATTCCCATGAGGCCTACACCTTTTCCTCCAGCCTTCCCCGAGCAGACCCTGGGGTCCTTCGCTTTCTTGGTTTCTCTCCTTTCTCTGCTCGGTCCCTCCGTTCTACCCTAGCCATACCGCAGTCTGTCCATCGCCCGCTTCACGACCCTCGGATCCCTTGCCCCAATAGCGGGGGGTCTCGGGACGGGGTTCCCAGGCAAACTTCGGTTCCTCCGGGCCACAGCCCACCGCTCCTCGCAGCCCACGTCTCCCCACGCTCCGCGTCCCGGCCCCACAGGCCCCGCCCCCGCGTCAGACCCCGCCCACCGCGCCTCCTGAGCCCCGCCCCTCACTCACCTGAGGCGTCTCCGCGCGCGCGCGGACGAAGAATCCAGGGGGCTGCGGAGGGGGGGACGGTGTAGGGGAAGGGAGGAAGTGGGGGGGTCCCCCACGCTGGCCCGTGGGGCCCCAGTGCGGGGGAGGGGTAGTAAGGTCACTGAGGCGGCGGTAGCCAGGCCGAAGCCGGGACCCCGGTGCTCCGTGGCGGCGGCTTCATTTCCATCACCCCGGCTTCACCTGAGGAGGGATTGACCCCCCCATGAGGTCCCCCCCATTACAGCCGCCCCCCTCCCGAGTAACTTCCGGTCCCACTACCAGGCGACAGGCGACTGGGCTGAACACCGAGCATCCTCGAGCCCGGGAGACTGCTGGGGGAAAAAAACAGGGGAGAGGAGCTAGGGCAGACTAGCCGAGCGCCGAGAAGTTCAAATCCGAAGGCGCCGTCGCCGGCGGAGGACAGCTCTCAGCTACCTCTCATCCGGCTGCTTCGCGTCTGCACACTGGGTGCACACTGGGCGCCCCACACGCCCTGGCACGTCCGCTTCTAGTAGTTTTCCCCCCATCCTTGCTAAATTAGCCGTGATTTTAATCTCTGCATTCTTTGCTTTTCCTATGCTGAGGAATCAAGGGTTTGATGGTACCAATTTTTTTTTTTTTTTAATGTCAGTCACTTAGGCCCTAATGCAGATGCTGACTTCAGAGAAGGAAGAAGTTTCTTTCTGACTTCCCAGAGACTGTTTCCCACCCCTACGACCGTTCTGGGTTAGTCTCCCGAGTCCCAACACCACTGTTGCCTCCCTCTTGCCAAAAAGGCCCCAGAGTAAAAATCTCAAATATATTTTATTGATTTAGAAAAAGTATCAATACAAAGAAGAGAGTTGTGCTCCTTGCTGTGGGTTCTCACTACTCCTTGGCAATTTAGAGGCAGTAGAAAATAGTAGAGACATTTCTTTCATGAGCCACACATATTCCTGAAGATCCCGAGCGAAGCAAAATAAGGCCTAGATGGCAATAGACATATGAAGTGGAGAGGACTAGGATGAGAAAATAATTCTTGTCTCCAGTATTGTGTGTGTGCGTGAGCGCTGGTACGAGGGCTTGAACTCAGGACCTTGTGCTTCCACTTGGCTTTTTCCATTCACAGCTGAGTCACATCTTCATCACTCAAAATCATTTCCAGTCCCAGAATTACTTTCCTTTAAAAAAAAAAAAGTTTCTAGGCCCTTGCTCCAACCTGTTGGTACAGGGTTAGGTGTCAAAGGAGGGTAGATCTTGGGTAGGACTTAGGAAGGTGTAGTACAAGGTTGTGATCCAAGAAGTGGAGACGAAGGAAAGGTTTTTGTGTGACACTGAATCTAAAGAATGGGTGGGAAAGGAGTTGAAGTGGTGCTGGTGTATAGATGACTCCATTCCATGCTCTCATGGGATGACACGGACGTGGACACGGTGCCAGGCATTGCTGAGCACACCTCGAAGGTTCCAGATTGGGGCCACAGTATCTGGCTGCACATTGTAGCTGTCATCCACAGCCTTACAAACGATGTTCAGTTCCTTCTGCCCAGTTGGCACAGGCACTTGCAGCTGCCATAAGCGCCAGGCCCAGGCCTTCCTGGGGCGCTGTTCCTCTCCATCCAGCTCAGCTGCCTGCCAGGTTAGCCCCCCATCCAGAGAGACATCCACCCGGATCACAGCCCTGCCACCACCACTCCACGCATAGCCCTTGACAGTCACTTCCCCTGATTCTATAGTCTGTCCATCCTGAGGCTCTGTGATGGCTGATTGGACAGGTAACTCCTGGATAGATGGGGCTGAGTCAAAGTCTACAGTGTCCCAGTCCACAGATGGAGAAAAGCCTTTGTAGTCCCGCCGCTGCCAGTGACTGTGACTTTCCTCTGTCTCCACACTCACTCTGCCCAGCCATTTGACATGGCGGGCACCCACCACACCAGGAACCACCACACGCACAGGGAAGCCATGATCACGAGGCAGAGGCTGCCCATTCATTTCATATGCCAGCAGGACCTCAGCTTCAGGATCCAAGGCCCGAGCCAGAGGGATGGATGCTCCGTAGGCAGTTCCAGTGGGGTCTGAGTCCAGACCTTCAAAGCAGACATGGGCCTCAGTTTCACAGAGCTGGTGACCAGCCTGGGCTAACACATCACAGAGCCGTGCTCCAGCCCAGCGTGCAGTGCTGATGGCTCCTGTCCTCCACTCTAGACCTTTCACTTCCTTGACCTGAGTCATCTCAGATCGCCGGTTGCCAGCACACTGCAGAGTGACTGTGACCTCATGTTTAGGAAACTTACGTAAGTCATCCAGAGACAATGACAAGGAATGACCTCCAGGTGCTCCTACTATGTGCAAGCGATAAGTTTCTGGGTCCAGGTTAGGTACAGGCAGATGGTTTCGAGTGAAGAAGATAGAATTGGGAGTAATGTAGTTTTCAGTTAACAACTCAGGAGGAGGTTCTGCATTAAAAGGGCGCTGGCTGTTGACCTTCAGGGCTGGGTGACGTACAGGATCTTCCGCATAAGGATCAGAGGTCTCTAAAGTAGGGGCCACATTGTCTTCTGGGTCCAGCTCCCCAATTTTATACTGAGCCAGTAACTCACGCACATGGGGCTGGCTGTGGACAGCATAGAGGGCCCAAAAGGGCTCTAGGGGACCCCCAGCTGCTAGCATTAGCTTTGATGGGCCACCTGGGTGTAGGTCTACAAATTCCGTGACATCAAAGACATCAGAGCCCAGAGTTACCCAGATCCCAGTCTGAGGGCTTTTGTGGGAACGTACCTCCTCCTTGGTATAAATTCGTGGTGATTCCTGAGCAGCCTGCAGGCAGGGGAGATGTAAAATAAAAGGGAACAGACTATTAAAGCACTGTATCTCAGCCTGGGAATGTGGCTTAGTGGTAGTGTGCTTGCCTAACGTGCATGAAGCCCTGGGTTCAATTCTTCAGAACCACATAAACAGAAAAAGCTGGAACTGGCACTATGGCTCAAGTGGTACAGTGCTAGCCTTGACCAAAAGAAGCTTAGGGATAGTGCCCAGGCCCTGAGTTCAAGCCCCAAGCCAAAAAACAAATCACTTTAGCTTATTCTAAACCAACTCACAGCCTTAGCCACTGGGTAAGGAAGGAGGCAGATGGTATCTTTGCTGTGCATGAAGACAGTGTTGGCATGGGCTCTGTGTAATAGCAAGAAAATGTCTCATGTTTGGACTGGGGAGTTCACTACAACTTCACTAGTTCACTAGGACTCCTATGTTCTTTTGTGTATGTGTGTGTGTTTGGTAATACTCTAGACTTAGGTGCTGTTTCTTAACTTATTCACACAGCCCTGATGCTCTATCATTTGAACCACACCTCCAATTCCCACTTTTTGCTAGTTAGTTGGAAATAGAGTCTCACAGACTTTCCTTCCTATGTGGATTCTGAGATGTGATCTTCAGATCTCAGCCTCCTGATTAGCTAGGATTACAGGCAGGAGCCACCCATGCCTGGCTGACCCATTCTGATAAGAAAACCCTTTTCCCACTTACCCTACAGCGGTGGTCATGATAGGCCAATACTGCACCAAGGCCTAGTAAGGTTCCCATGGCTCTCCATCCCCCAGTACTGGAGTTACCACCAGAGGTGAGTCTGGGACTCTGGGGCTGAAATGAATCATTTGCAGAACAGGCCTGAATGCACAGCCTTGAGGGAGTTGACTTCAGTCTGGAAGAGAGAGATCTTAGTAGTGAAAGTGCCAGTGAGGGTCTGTGATCTGCCTCTCCCTAACCTTGGCTCCTTCCATTGGAATTCAGTTTCTTCAGAGATGATTGGGACAAGTGGAATGTGGATTTTCCTTTCCAGCTAGGTAACTTTTTAATTAGCATATCTGCAGATAGTTACCTGGGAGATAATAAGTACTAGGAAGGGACTGCCTACCTGTAGGTCTGTCTAAGGCCCAGGACCAAAGCTTTGTGTAGCAGCAGCATGCTGGTAGACCTGTAGGAGGAAGATTCCAAAATGAAAACAAGAAAATCCTTTTTGAAGGGGCGTCAGGAGGCCCAAGGGAATGGATAGGAGGAAGACATAAAAAAGGCCAGGAAGAACAAACAAACAAAAAAAGGTCAGTAAGGAACTGTGAGCAAATGGGGAGATTTGAGAGTTGGGGGTGGTAGCTAACATCTACTTATTTTCCTTAATGGCTTTTAGGGAAAATAAAAGTACTTCAAAGATAAGATTGTGCTAACAGAAGTGAAAGGGGGGGGGGACAGAGAAATGGGGAACAGCTACTTCTAGAATCATCTTATCTCCCACTCACCACTCTCTAATTTTTCCACTATAAAGAACAATGCCTGAGGCCAAAGGATAATGTTTACGTCGAATGGGCCAATTTAATTCTTATTTTATTATTTTAAATTTTATTATTTATTTTTATTTTTTAGTGTGTGGGATGCTGGGGATCCAACTCAAGTCCTCACAAGTTTGAACAAGTGTCCTACCTTGAGCTATACCTCTAATCTCAGTTTGCTGGTAATTGTTCCTAGTCAGCAGAGATCAACTAAGAGTCAGATTTATGTTAACAAAAAAGAAAAAACAGGGGCTGGGAAGGTGGCTCAGTGGTAGAGTGCTTGCCTTGCATGCATAAGGCCCTGGGTTGGATTCCTTAGCACCACATAAGCAGAAAAAGTCGGAAGTGGTGCTGTGGCTCAAGTGGTAGAGCACTAGCCTTGAGCTGAAGAGCTGAGGGACAGTGCCCAGGCCCAGAGTTCAGGCACCATGATTGGCAAAAAAAAAGAAAAAAGAAAAAAGAAACAGTGAAAAACTGTAGTGGTAGCACAATGGGGTAAAGGAGCCCAGATTCTAGAGGCAAAGAGCCTTGGGTTTGTAAAACCAGTCCTTGCCTTTAACTGGTTCCCTGGGTAAGATACCAAAGCCTCTGTGAACTTGCATTCGAATTCTTATCTCTGAAATAAGATCTACCTAACGAAAGCGATATGAAGAGTAAACAAATAATTGTCTTTAAAGGTCGGTCTCTCTCTCTCTCTCTCTCTCTCTCTCCACTTCCCCCTTCCCATGAAAAATAATTGACCTCACTTGGAAAATTGAACCCCAACTTGGAATCTCCACCCAAAGTCTAGGTCATTCTGGTAAGCTCAGCCAATTGAGAGTCAATGACCAGGATGTCAGGCTAGAGAAGGAAGTTAATTTTTCTTCTCTGAGTTTGGCAGCTTAGTGGCTTGGAGCGAACCACTGACTGATCAGGATCCAGGAGAGAAGATAAGTATACGGGTTGCTGAGGAGATGCTAGGAGTGTGGGGGTGGGGGAGGTCGCCACTGGGGAGGCAGGAAAATGGGAACCGAAGCAGAGCTCATGCTTTACCCCTGGGTCCTAGGACCCTCATGCTCTCTTGCCACCTACCCTCAATTCCAGCCTCCCGCTGCAACACGGAGACGCCACTCCTCGGTGTGGGTAGCAGCCCCTCACTCCTTGGGGACACTTTGGACAAGATACAGGCAGTATCCGGATAGGGCAGCTGGCTCCGGGCCACTCCCCAGCTGCTGGCACAAGAGGTCCAGCAGCAGTTACCCTACAGTTCCAACAGCACCCCGGGAATCGGGGGTGGGGGCACCGGTCCCTTTGTTATTCTTAAGCTTTGGGGACCCGCAAAGCCCCAAAGCCCCCTTCTCCCCCGGCCGCGGTCCCCCCGGCCGCCGCTCCCTCCCGGCCGCA